GTGGGCAAGGTCTTGAACTTTCTTGTGGGTGAGGAAAACCCGGAAGCTTTCAGATTTGGGTTTTCACAGATGTGCCAATATGACATCCCTAATAAAAGTTAGCTTTGAGGAACTTCAAGCCTTGGAGTTTGATTTTGTTGGGGGTGTTACTTGGAACCCTGACACTGCCAGTGAAAACGGGCTCACGAGCCCTATTTTTGGCTCCAGTGGCCTCCTGCAGCTCTCTGCCAGTGAAAACGCCTGTGCTCCGTTTTCGCTGGCAGAGGCAACGCAGGCCGGTCCTTCGCTGTTTTCAGGGTGGACCCCATGGGCCAGATCTAAGCACCCCACAGGGCAGATTTGGCCCACAGGACTTGAGTTTGACACCTCTGGAATAGCCGAACCAAATTATTGGACAGAGTTATTTTGAGAATTATTTTGTCTTTTCCTTTCCTTTTCTGTCGGGTCGCTATTCTTTTTTTCTTACCACACTTTCCAGCAATCGGGAATCAAACCCGGGGAAAATACAATAAGGCAGGTAGCCTTCGACTTACGACCCGCAACTGTTTTTCTTTTAAACATTTTATTTATTTATTTATTTATTTTATTTTATTGAATTTCTATACCGCCCTACTCCCGAAGGACTCAGGGCGGTGCACAGCCATGAAATAAAACACATAGATATACAAAATTTAAAATCGAATAAAATGAATTAAATAAATTTGGCTGAATTAATACCCATAATTTAAAATACCCATATTTTAAAATACAGTAAAAATTTAAAATTTACACTTAAAAGGGAGAAGATTTAGGCGAGGCCAGCTTGATGAAATAACAGCATCTTCAGCTCGCGGCGGAAGGTGCGCAGGTCCAGAATCCTCCGTATCTCTGGGGGGAGCTCATTCCAGATTGTCGGTGCCCCCACAGAGAAGGCTCTCCCCCTAGGGGCCGACAGCCGACATTGTTTGGCCGACGGCACCTGGAGGAGCCCCTCTCTGTGGGAGCGTACTGGTCGGTGGGAGGCTATTGATGGTAGTAGGCGGTCCCGTAAGTAACCAGGTCCTAAGCCATGGAGCGCTTTAAAGGTGGTAACCAGAACCTTGAAGCTTCTCATCCAAGAAGCTGAACTGAAGAAGCTTCTTGGATGAGAAGCAAAACATTTTCAAAAACAAGAAAAGAAAAGGGGGGGAAAAAAACACCCGAAGAAAGTCCAATTGCTTTTTGGAAGAAGTACTTTTGGGTAGCTATTATCAAGGCAACAAAATCAGCACCACGGACAGCAGCTCTTCTGGTTTCTTCTTGGCATTGCTGATGGTGTAGTGTAATCACTCAGCTGGAGTTGATCCTAATTTAAAACTCTGCACACCTGGTCCGCTATAATTTGCATTCAGTGTCTGGGGGTTCAGGTGAAGCTTCGAAGCACCTACGAAGATTAGATTCCTAGGTTTTTCAACGTGGACCATAAAGACTTTCAGCTGCTTCTGCAAGTAGCGATGGAATGTCCTACTTGCCACCTCGAAGGGTTCATTTTCCAATCATTTGTGTTCGCTTTCCTTTATTTTCTTTGTTTGGGCATGTTTCTCATTTTTGTCTCTGCCAAAATGAGGGGAAAAGGGGAGACTGGAGGCAGAGGGTCACTGACCAAGAATCAAAATCATGTGAAGGGTTAATACCAGGGGTGGGTTCTACTTACCTGTACTACCAGTTCGCAACGGGAGTGCGGCGCTTCTGCAGATGCGCAGATCACCCATGATGACGTCGTGGCAGGTGAGCGGAGCCTCCCGCCAGTTTTACTACCGGTTCTATAGAACCGGACAGAACCGGGAGCAACCCAGTTAATACCACTTTATCAGGGGTGGGTTCTACTTACCTTTACTACTGGTTTGCAACGGGATCACGCATGTGTGATTGCTTTGCTCGCGTATGCGCCTTGCTTCTGTGCATGCGCAGATCGCCGATGAGGACATCTGGGGCAGTGGGCGGGGCCTCCCGCTGGTTTTACTACCGGTTCTTGCGAACTGGTCCAAACTGGGGCAACCCACCACTGTGCTTTATAATGCCTTGGTAAGATCACACTTGGAACACTGTGTCCAGTTTTAGTCACCGCAATATAAAAAAAATGTTGAGACTTTGGGAAAAAGCGCAGAGAAGAGCAACAAAGATGCTTAGGGGGCTGGAGACGAAAACATATGATGAATAATTGTAGGAACTGGGATGGCTAGTCTAGAGAAAAGAAGGACCAGGGGAGACATGATAGCAGCCTTCCAATTTTTGAAAGGCTGCCACAAAGAAGGGGGGGGGTGTTCAACCTATTCTCCAAAGCACCTGAAGGCAAGACAAGAATCAATGGATGGAGACTAATCAAGGAGAGAAGCAACTTAGAACTAAGGTGAAATTTCCTGACAGTTAGAACAGTTAATCAGTGGAACGACTTGCCACCAGAAGTTATGGGTGCTCCAACACTGGAAGTTTTTAAGAAGAGATTGGACAGCCACTTGTCTGGAATGATATAGGGTAGTGATGGTTAACCTTTTTGGTGCCGAGTGCCCAAAGTGCAAATGTGCGCGCGAATCCACACCTGTGTGCCCGACCCCCCCTGTGCATACATGGCAGAGACCCGAAGAGACCGGCGGGAGGCACGCGCGTGCACATGTGCAATGGAGCTGGGCTGGGGTGATGGCTGGCGTGCCCACAGAGTGAGCTTTGCGTGTTACCTGTGGCCCGTGTGCCATAGGTTCACCATCACAGATATAGGATCTCCTATTTGAGCAGGAGGTTGGTCTAGAAGACCTCTAAGGTGCCTTCCAGCTTTGTTTTTCTTATTCTATTCTGTAACAGTAGAATTCTCTTCTTTGTACTTGGTTTCTTATTTAGTACAGTATTCTAGATTCCCAGGCTACTGTCACGCGCTGTTGTCTTTAGTTATTATCGGTCTCTTTGTACGCTGATGGCAGTAAGACATGTATGTTTACATCTGTTCCCTCTAGCAATATCAAGATTGTCTTTCTTTTGTGTACAGAAGATTAAAAACTCAAGGGGGAGGGGAGGGGGTCAATCCATCTAGCAAACTTTCAGTTGAAAATGTTGGCGTGCATGGCTTTATTAGTGTCCCAAGGAATAAATCACAAAAGGGATTCAAACCTCTGAATAACTTTGACTCGTGTGAAGTAGTAAATCATCAAGTGCAAACAAGCAAGGGAAATTATTTAGGACACCGAGCGGTTGAACCTGCTGATGTGTCACGTCATCCTAAAAGCACGGATCGTGGTAGGCACTATTTTATTTCAGGAGGGGATTAGGTTTCAGAGAGCCTGTGTCGCTGTCCGTGATTTATATATTGGGTATCTTAAGTTTTAGTTAGCAAAGTACTGTAATTACAGTTTTAAATTTATACAGTCACCTTTAGTCAAAGACACCTCTGAGTGATGTATTATTCCAGATCTAAAGCAAACAAAATAAAGGACATTGTGTGACACGGGAAACATACATCACAGCTAAAACAAGCCATGATCATGACCTAACCCACAGTTTATTTATTTATTTATTTATTTATTTATTTATTTATTTATTTATTTATTTATTGGTTCGATTTATATGCCGCCCTTCTCCGGAGACTCAGGGCAGCTTACAATGGTTTTAAGCAATAGCCTTCATACTTTTATATATACCTGCTTAGTAGGGCTTTTGGCCCCCCCCCTAAGCAGTGTTCTTTTTTATACAAAGTCAGCTTATTGCCCCCACAATCCGGGTCCTCGTTTTACCTACCTCGAAAGGATGGAAGGCTGAGTCAACCTTGAGCCTGGTGAGATTTGAACTTGCAGTAATTGCAGGCAGCTGGTGCTACTTAACAGCACTTTAGTCTGCTGCGCCACCAAGGCTCTTGGTTTTGAGGAAAAGCCAAGCTTTAAACAAATATCTAAGGGATTGTGTCAGATTTCAAGAACCAAGCGTGACACAGAGTTCCTTAAGATTACTTTCTTTACCTAAAGACAGAATCTTGCCAGATTTAAGCAACTATTTGCCTAACTTCAGATATACTCCGAGAACAGCTAGGAAGAAGACAGAAAATAGAATAGCAGAGTTGGAAGGGATCTTGGAGGTCTTCTAGTCCAACAACAGAAGACCCTATACCATTTCTGATGAGTGGCTGTCCAGTCTCTTCTTGAAAACCTATGGTGAGGAAGCACCCACAACTTCGTGAGGCAAACTATTCCACTGATTTAATTGTTCTCATTCATTTCTCCTTAATTCTAGGTTGGTTCTCTCTTTAACCCATCTGTTATTACTTGTTCTTGCCCTCGGGGGCTTGGTACAGAAGACATTACATTGATTCTTCCTAGCAGGAGAATTGTGGCAAGTTACTGACTACAAACTTGAAATCATGGTCGCCATTTTGTCTGTTTTGATCAGGGGTGGGCTTCAAAAATGTCAACAACGGGTTCTCTGCCCAGTTGCTTGGTGGGCGTGGCCATGGCAGGTGTGGCCTATTCGGCCTCCTGCACCACACCGTTTTCGCCTTCCCCAGGCTCCAGGGGCTTTCTTCAAGCCTCTGGGAGGGTGAACAACTGCCTCCCCCGGGCTCTGGAGGCCCTCCGGGGGCTGGAAATGGACCTGTTTTCAGATTTCCGGGAGGCCCATATTTATTTATTTATTTATTTATTTATTTACTTACTTACTTACTTACTTACTTACTTACTTACTTACTTACTTACTTACTTATGAAATGGGCCTGTTTTCAGACTTCCGGGAAACCCGTTTTGTTTATTTATTTATTTATTTATTTAATTTATTTATTTATTTATTAAATGGGCCTGTTTTCAGACTTCCGGGAGGCCCGTATTTATTTATTTATTTATTTAGGGAATGGGCCTGTTTTCAGACTTCTGGGAGGCCCGTTTTTTTGTTTGTTTGTTTGTTTATATTTCTATGCCGCCCGCTCTCCGAGGACTCTGGGCAGCTTACACCAAAGACAGTATACTAAATAGCACATTGCCCACAACAATCTGGGTCCTCATTTTACG